ATGCAAAGGAGCTCATCTTGAAAATGAACGAGCATTGACATAAAACCACATTAGGACAGGCAGTTGGTTTACCAACAGGGTGCAGCACTATTAACTTTTTGTTTGAATTTATGATAACAGCTAATTTGAACAAAGCAGCAACAAACTGTGATACACATTGAGAACTGTCAAATACTAAATTGTTGTGGTATTGTGCGAATAGGGTAATTTTATTTTTAAGTCCATAATTCATCAACCTATTGACTTTATTTTTTTTTTTCAAATTGTTATAAAAAAGTACGAGGTGTTAGCCCGTCCTAAGTACGGGAGTAGTCAGTTAAAACTGTGAAGGCCTATATTTCAGAACAGCTAGTTTACACGTATAAAGACAAATTTTATTGTAGCCTACAGTAGAAAGAGTAATTATCAATTGAGAAGTGTATAGGCCTAGTCAATGATATCACCTTCCATCGCATACCTGCCTCTTCCATAATCAATACTGTATCACCACAATACAATTACTCATACTATACACAATTTCCAGTAGGTCTGAATTGAAACTCCTTAAAATAAAACGAAAACATCAAATAAAATTCACAGTACACATAATTATAACGTTGGTGTCCTGACATCATTAAACGAATCGTCCACACAAATCCTTTATGTCAATTTCACTGCATCAATTGCTAAATAAATAAATGTAAACAAAGAAATGTAAACACAACAACATATTAGTTTGTTTTGTCAACAGCTGAGTAAAAAATAAAATAATATCCATTTGAACAAAAGAACTGGTCACATGTTGAAGGAATTTAAAAAGTAAAAACGCTAGTAAAGCTAGTGACGTAATTAATTGTCCATGTTTATTATCCATTCCGTTATCAGTTCTAATATCCTTGATAATCAAACCACCCTCATTGAATCAATGTACATCGTAATTCCCCATATTCATTTATTTAAACTATAAAATATTCAGCACCTCCAAACGTAACCACAACTAAACACACGCCAAACAACTTTTTAGATTTCATAAAAGAATGGTTAGTCTAATTGCAGTATCCTAGGTCAATGATGACGTTATGTTCAATCTATGTCATTCATCTGTATATCTTTGGATAAAACCCGTCTGAGGTTGTAGTGGTAATTTAAAATCGTATTCCTGAGGATTCTTGATCTCCATCTTTATGACATCAATATTTCCGGGCCTAATCCAAACAAAGTTCAAGCATTCAAAAACATTGATTTTAAACAAAAAGCTGCCAAGATGAATTAAAACATTTAAAAATTGTGATTTTCCTACCCTTTCCAAAAAAGTTGAGCAGTAAAATAATTTGCATATTTTTTTTTTTAACTCGTGTACAAATATCATGTAAACCTCGACTTGTATACATCGATGGTGTTACTTATCTCGGTGGTCTACTAATCTTACTTATTTCCTATAATCAATGACAAAATCAGAGTAAATAACCTTATAGTTCTATAGGGCATTTTTATAATTAACCAGCTGTTAGTTAAAACAAATTATATTGCACTAAAACAAACCGAAGATTACAAAGATTACTTAAAAAAATAATTTGAACATCCTAGTATTATACTATGTATATTTAAATAATCAATCCGTCATCCTCTTATCGAAGGATTGAATGATTAGCATTACACATAGTATAAATAAGTCGACCCCTAGTATGTCTTTTAATTTGATCCAAATGCTGAATTTGTGTTACAAACGCTGAATGTTTACAGCTGTTATGTTAAGCAAATTATATTATACCAAATGCTAGTTTAGAATCTTAGCGTCGGCTGCTAGACTTTTCAAAAATTAAAAGTTAATTTCTAAATAACTGGGACCCTAAACTAAAATTATGGCTTCGACATTCCCTAGTGCTCAAAATTATCTTTCTTTTTCAACACAAAAATCATGAAAATCCGTCAGGTGGTTGATTCAGAATCGTGAAATAAAAAAACCCTATTACGTTTTAATATTATAGATAGTGTTTATTTTCTTCAAAAATAATGCCTGGGAAACATAGTAGCAAGTCAAAAATTGTAGTGCATTACTGATCGAGGCAATGACTTGGATGGAAGGAACTAATATTATAGACATGAATGTTTGAAGTATATCAATAACGTGAAAACTACTTGACCAATTGAGCAGATTTTTTTCATGAATAGAGCCACAAATGAATAACCACAGGCTTTGTGGATATAGTTATTTTAATACTCTCCTAGGGACCAAATAGTTTCTGGCAGATTATTAAGTCCAATGTTGTTCTTTGAAGTAACCATGAAATGCCACTCATAAATGCCACCCAAACTGGGCCCGGCAATCTATAGTTTTATTAATTAGGCGAATGGGACAAATGGGTCGAATAGGCATTTGCCTATTGGGTCTGATAATGATTGGAGGGTCCAATCAAAATCGATCCCCACTTACCATCTTTTAATAGTAGTTTATGCAACGATTGCGTAGAGATAGTGTTAACGACACGAGTAGAAAATTTAAGGTACGAGCCTTGGCGAGTGCCTTAAAAACTTCTACGAGTGTCGTTAACATTATTTATGCGAGTTGCGTACACTACTTTACCAACGACATTGTTTTAATTACTAAAAATCACTACACTCATAACTTCTAAAAGAGGTTATGTTTTCGTTTATAACCTCTCATTGATTGCCAGTGACAGTGATGAAACGAAACATTGTATCAAACACTAATTGCACCAATCAACAATTAAAATGGCCTGAACAGCTGAATAGTTGAATTTTGAATCATTACAATTTTACTTCTCCTCTCTCAATCCTTGAACCTCATTGGTCTGTTACCCCTGTTGTTATGAGTAAAACTATGCTGTTATGAAAGTAAACAATGCTGTTATGAGATACTTTTCAATTCTAATAACTGTACTGAAATGGCTACTTTAACAACGGTCGTAGGTAAATGTATTTACTGTCTTGTGAGTAAACAGTATAAGTGTAAATATATTATTACAAGTGTTATTGGACGTATTTTTTGTGCTTTCATTTAATTCAATAACACGTACGATGCTGATCAAGAAGTTAGAAATATTCCACTGCTAATGGGTTAATCTTCATGTTCATTTGTGTTATGTGTTTAGCTTCAACAACGCTGCTTCAACTGAGATAGATAAAGATATCTTATGATGATATTGTGATGTTGAACAACAGTTCCAACTTTTGAGCTGATTCCTGATTGACGAGGTTAAGCCTAAATTTTAGTATCCCAAGACAAAGTTTACTCAGTATTCACTACAGTACACTCCAGATAATCCAAGCCCCAGTTTTAGGAGGTTGTCTTAGGCAAACACCAATGAGGGCTACTTTAAATGTTACTATATGTTACTTAAGTTGGTGTATAATCTTTGGTTGGTTAGCCATTATTATTTTGTCATTGGTGTATATAATAACAAAATAATAATGGCTAACCAACCAAAGATTATACACCAACTTAAGTAACATATAGTAAAATTTATTTTAATTTACACTTAGAAAAAATAATTACTGTATCAATGAATTTTTCTGTTTAAAAAAGAAGAAATAATGGGTAATTAGTGATTTATTAAAATTATTACTTGAAGTAACCATTAGGTATTATTTTAACGCAAGAATGATCCGCAATAACCTAGGAAATGAAAATCACACAGAAGGCCTACTAGGTTGGCCGCTAACTGTTAGCAAGCTGGGAGAGCCGTCTGGACAATCTAAATATCAGGCTTTGTCATTTTGATGTTTTTTATGTAGACGTGATTGTGTAAAGTTATAGCTCAGGTCAAACTCAAACAAAATGTAATTTTTATGCTTTTCAAATTAGAAGGATCCACGTAATTGCTTAGTTTGAAATACTGTAGCATATTATATAGTTTGAATAATATTGTGTTTAAAGTTTTTGAAGACAATTGAAGAAGTGTTGAGCATGTTCTTATTTTTTTTTTTTTTCTTTAATAAAACTACCTTATTTGAAAAACAAAAATTCCATGAAAATTCCATTTGATAATTTTATATTTGCTATAGGGATGGACGAGATTGGATTTTTAGTTCGAGACGAGACGAGACGAGATTTTTTATTTCTCATAAAATTTCGAGACGAGATCGAGACGAGATTTCTCTTCTCATACACAACGGGAAATGCACGTTCGAAATTTTTACCTGATTTTGTAACATTGTTAGATGACTGTTTAAATACTAAAATAATGATAATAGGCAAGAATATTTACAATCTTTCATTAAATAACATCAGCATAACATTTTTTTATTAATCACGCCTAACTTATTAAAAATGCCTACGGTTAGGAAACATGGTGATATCAGTTAGGATAGAGTTCAACTTATCCTAAAATAAAATAAATCATAAAATAAAAGCAATATTAATTTTTATAAAATAGTTACTTGTTTTGACTTTTTTTATAGTAATAAAACATTCCTCACACTGCTTACACTTAACAAAACTTCTCAAATGTTATTAAAGTAATATTATTAAAATAATGAAAGTAATATTTACATTAAAAGAATTAAAGTAATATTTACATTAAAAGAATTAATTAAATAAGAACGCCTTCGAAAAGGAAACGCAACTACAACACGCTCCTGTATTGCGGGTATTGCATTGACTTTCTGCAGGCGTTTTTAATTTTTTTTTTTTTTTTTTTTTTTTTTTTTTTATTCTCGTCTCGATAAAAATCTCGGCCAAAAAGTAATCTCGTCTCGTTTAACGAGATTGAAAATTTCCCGAAAATTTCCCGAAATTTCGAGACTTGACCATCCCTAATTTGCTATGTACAGTTATGTTTAAACTTAATTTTTATAAGTATTTTACATAATGTGGTAAATTTACCATAACCCCTAACCTCAAAATCTATGCAACCTTTGTGTTATCTGAGATTCTCAGTGACCCGAGGTACTACTGTAACGTAACGGAGGAGTGTACTGTGTTGCTAATTCTGTTCAGATAAAAATCACCTAAAATGCCCAAGAAAACTACAATTTAATTAGTAAAAGTTTAATCTAACCTTGGCAAAAGTCCTGCAGATTGAGCCAACTGATTTGCCAGACACAGTAGTCTCAAGGATCCGGCTAGTCACAAAAGTGTGGAGCTTCCGTAAGGCACTCTGTAAAAAGTACAGGTTTAGTAATTAATTAATATAGCTTGGATGCTGAGGCAATTCAATCTCTAATACAAAGAGCCAAATTCCATTTAATACTAAGTGTAAATGTGATTTCATTTTGGTATGATACCGTATGGATACTAAAGATTTTGTCATGATTAAAGTCAAAAGTTTTATTCTTCTCTGGCGGTCCAGGAGGAGATAACATAATTGTCTTCTGCAAGCAAAATTCTTAACACCTTCCGCTGTAGTATGGAAATCATCATCATCCGCGATGATGGAAAAATATTGAAAATATTGTACAGCCTTATAGACATCTTCACCTTCCGCAATTGTGGTAAAGTTTTTAAAATCTCCCGCAGTCTTGCAGACATCATCATCATCTTCCACGGTCACAGAAATGTTATCAACATCCCTAGCTTTCAGGCAAAAGGGTGAATATTTGGTTTGCTTAATCTTCGCAGATACGTTCCGCTCGAGCTCCATTTTTTTACTTGGTGCTCGATCACACAGCTTTAAGATTAGGCTAAGATCAAGATCCGCCAAACACCTGTATTTTTAAACCTTTCTTCACATTTTATTCTATAAGGATTAAGGAAATTGGTTGCCATAAAATAGCTTAAGCTAGAAAGATGGTCAAATGACATTTCAATGCTTGCTTACAAAAGCTAAGGACTGGGTAGAAAGATTATTAAAAATAATTTGAAAAAATACTCGAGTTGAAAGAAACATTAGAAATAAAGTAATGTAGAGCTAACAACAGCAAACATGGCTAAATGTTAGAAGACATACCTTGAATATCTGTGGGGATGTCTGATACAAGAGACAACTGAAGGTGGAGACGATGGCACTCTCCGCCACATTCTCCATGCGGCTGCGGACCTGCTTGTGTTGGTCTTGCTGCTCTAGCCGTGTGTTCTCCAACACACTGTTGTCCACTAAAGTGAAACATCGGTCCATGAACTCCAGCACCAGGTCCTCCAACTGACTGGTGGCTGCACACACTATCTCCTCCTCCTAGACATTAGATTACACAATGAGATAAGTAAATCATCAGTCCATGAACTCCAGCACCAGGTCCTCCAACTGACTGGTGGCTGCACACACTATCTCCTCCTCCTAGACATTAGATTACACAATGAGATAAGTGAATCATCGGTCCATGAACTCCAGCACCAGGTCCTCCAACTGACTGGTGGCTGCACACACTATCTCCTCCTCCTGAGCATTAGATTACACAATGAGATAAGTAAATCATCAGTCCATGAACTCCAGCACCAGGTCCTCCAACTGACTGGTGGCTGCACACACTATCTCGTCCTCCTGAGCATTAGATTACACAATGAGATAAGTGATTCATCGGTCCATGAACTCCAGCACCAGGTCCTCCAACTGACTGGTGGCTGCACACACTATCTCCTCCTCCTGGACATTAGATTACACATGAGATAAGTGAATCATCGGTCCATGAGCTTCAGCACCAGGTCCTCCAACTGACTGGTGGCTGCACACACTATCTCCTCCTCCTGAGCATTAGATTACACATGAGATAAGTGAATCATCGGTCCATGAACTCCAGCACCAGGTCCTCCAACTGACTGGTGGCTGCAAACACTATCTCCTCCTCCTGAACATTAGATTACACATGAGATAAGTGAATCATCGGTCCATGAACTCTAGCACAAGGTCCTCCAACTGACTGGTGGCTGCACACACTATCTCCTCCTCCTGAACATTAGATTACACATGAGATAAGTGAATCATCGGTCCATGAGCTTCAGCACCAGGTCCTCCAACTGACTGGTGGCTGCACACACTATCTCCTCCTCCTGAGCATTAGATTACACATGAGATAAGTGAATCATCGGTCCATGAACTCTAGCACCAGGTCCTCCAACTGACTGGTGGCTGCAAACACTATCTCCTTCTCCTGAACATTAGATTACTCGAGATAAGTGAAACATCGGTCCATGAACTCCAGTACCAGGTCCTCCAACTGACTGATGGCGGCTTGTCTACCACCAGCAAAGTCCATGATTGTCATACAAAAACCATGTTCGTATCTGTGCGCATCAATTCGTATTTTTGTTCAATGTTAAAACTTTCATCCTCACTGAATCCATGGTTTAGTTATGTGGTTCATGGCTACTATCAAAAATTTCCTGGTCTTTTAAAATTCATGTGCAATTCACAAATGATTTCCCAGTTATCAAAATTTACAGTTCCCAGTTTACGGTCAACCAGATATCCTAAAGTAGGTTTTAACTTGCTCTATATACGTCCCGTCAAATGTTCTTGTTCTGTTTCTTTCTTTGAGTTATTATTGTGTTTGTGATGTTTTTGGATTTTTTGGTTGTTTTACGTTCTAAACCAAACATAATCAAAAAACAAACAAAACATGTAATAAGCCTTATTTATGTCTCTATTATGGTCTAGGTACCGTAGGAGAAGTAATTTTTACACATTTACTAGTTTACCTGATTACTTTGACATCACTAACAGTACAGTAAAATATCCTCAATACAAATAGTAAAAAACCATAACCTACAGTTAAAATTGCTCTACTCTCACCTCAGTCAGGTCTTTCCAATGTTCTGAGGCACCAGAACAGTCAACCAGTGGAATCATTGCAGTAAATGTGGTGAGAACCTACAACAATAGACTCATTACTTTGATATAATGGAGAATTAGCTCCTAGACTGTAATATGTAGAATGTAAGTGTTGCAATGTGTTTATGTGATGTCCAGTACCACATTTCCCATTAGGCCTACTAGGCCCAGGCCTAGGGCGCCAAATTTTAGGGGGCGCAAAATTTTAACCTCTTGAATGAATCCCACGAATGCGCCCGCACGTCATACCGGTAGCCCTGCTAGTGCTACGAACCCCCGAGTGTAGTTTGAATTTGCTGCGCTTAGTAAGCAAATCGAAGAAGAAAAAATTTTGTCTTGTTTGTGTAATATATTTATATAAGTAATATAACAGTTTTTACTATTTAATAATTTACAAGGCTATGTTGGCATATTTAAATATGTACGATGAACTGTAACCGTTTGTATTTCCCACTACCAGTTAATAATATTTGAATAAACGAATGCTATTGGACGATCGGGTCACGCCACTTCCCCAACCCATGAGTCCATGTTAACCGACACCTCTACACCTCAGTTATAGCCAGCTTCCATCCTGAGTAACTCCGGCCCGGTCGGTCGTTAGCAGTTTACAGTGTTAAACCGTAGTGCTCATTAACTTCCCGATTCCCGTAGTGTAAGACGTCAGGGTGACGTAGTGACTTAGTTACAGTGTATAAGGATAGCCCGTGTCAACGAAGGTACGTCAGGGTGACGACACTTCAGTGGCGACGAGGACAATTGGAGCAGTTTTTAACGTTCGGGAGTGAAGCGTCGGTCTACGTCCGATACTGTACGCGTGGTGTAAATGGCTTGTTTTAGCGCCATAAAAAGATTTTCGTTAGTTTGTGTGGGGAAGGAATGAACATAGAGAAGCTATTTAGTGAAGGATTTAAGTTCGGACATAAAATGGCGGGAATTATAGGAAGCGTCGGGGAGTTCGACCAGCACGAGGAAACGTGGGATTCGTATATTGAACGTTTCGAACTATTTTTAAGTTGTAATGAGGTCAGTGAAACGAAAAAGGTTAGTACGTTACTCACAGTAGTTGGTGTAAAGACGTTTAAACTTTTGCGAGATTTGTGTACACCGGACAAACCGTCTACTAAATCGTACGCTGAATTAGTGAAATTAATTAAAGACCATTTGTACCCGACCCCATCTTTCATTGCGGAACGATATAGATTCAGCTTGAGAAATCAGTTAGAAAACGAGAGTGTTTCCCAGTATATCGCGCAATTAAAGCATTTGTCGACACATTGCGAATTTGGCGCGAATTTAAATGACTATCTACGAGATCGCCTGGTTAGCGGCATTAGAAGTGATTCAATGAAGCAGAGACTTTTATCGGAATCAAATTTAACATTCGAGAAGGCAGTGCAGATGACGTCACAGTTTGAGATGGCGGAGAAGAGCGCGGCGTCACTTTCGGCGGGAAGCAGCGATGGTCACGGCGGGAGGATCCAACGCATGGCGGCGGCATCAGCTTCAGCTTCACCACGCCCATCAGGTCAGCAACCCCGCCCACGAGGTTCAGCGCATCACAACACCGGAAGAGGTAGACAACAGCAACAGCCAACATCGTCTGCAGCGGCGTCGGCGTCAACGTCAAATGATAGAGTGCAGTGGCAGTGTTTTTGTTGTGGTGACTTCGGTCACATCGGCAGGAATTGCCGTTTTAAAGGTTCGACATGTCACAAGTGCGGTAAGAAAAATCATTTAGCAAAAGTGTGTCGATCTCAGCAAAACAGTAAGTCACAGTTTCAGTTCCGTAGTAATAAGAGTGATTTTAGATATAATAGAAATAAGCAGCATAACTATGTAGATGAGGTATCTGATGATGTAAGCGTAAATGATGATATTGAGGAGAGTATAGGTAATCTGTTTGAAATTAGTGAAGGGTCCAGTAAAATAACTAAGGTTGATCCTTTCAAAACAGAGGTTATTCTTGAGAACAAATCAGTAACTTTTGAAGTTGACACGGGTGCGTCAGTAACTGTAGTAAGCGAGGCTTATTATAAAGATAATTTGAGTACTTTGAAATTGTTTCCTACTGACGTAAAGTTAAGCTCCTACACTAATGTACCAATTTACCCTGTGGGTAAGCTAGAGGTAAATGTTCAGTTCAGAGATAAAAACCGAACTTTAAGCTTGTACATAATTAAGGACGGAGCTCATCCCCTTATGGGACGAGACTGGATAAAGGAGTTAGGAGTAGAAATTTCTTTCAAAAATATTGAGGAATTATTTGTTGCTAAAACTGAATCAAAGAGTAAACATGAAAGTTTAGTTAAGGAACTAGTAAACGAGTTTCCTGAAGTTTTTTCAGATCAATTAGGGCAATGTAACTGTAAGCCCGTAAAACTGGTTGTAAAAGAAAATGCCATTGCTAAATATCATCGACCCAGATCACTACCCTACACCCTTAAGGCTAAGGTAGAAAAAGAACTAGAACGTTTGGTGGAGTCCGATATTTTAGTCCCAGTTTGCAGTTCAGAGTATGGATCGCCTATTGTGCCAGTTCCTAAAAAGGATGGTAGCATTAGGATTTGTGGGGACTTAGGCATGTTAACGCACAATTAGAAATTGATAGGTACCCCATTCCTAGGGTCGAAGATTTGTTTACAGAACTTCAAAAAGGGGAATTTTTCAGTAAGATCGATCTAAGTCAAGCCTATATGCAGTTAAGATTAGATGAGTCATCACAAAAGCTGTGTACAATCAGTACACATAAGGGGTTGTTTGCGTACAAAAGATTGCCTTATGGCATAGCATCAGCAGTAGGTATCTTTCAAAGAGTCATCGAACAAGCTTTGCAAGGGTTGCAAGGTGTGAAATGTTTTTTGGACGATATAATTGTATCAGGACCAAATGACGAAGTACATTTAAATAGACTAAGGGAAGTTTGTTCACGCCTCAAGGCTGTAGGTTTCACAGTGAAACAAGATAAGTGTAAATTTTTTGCATCAAAATTGGAGTTTTTGGGGTTTACTATAGACAAACATGGGCTTCACACCTCGCAAGCCAAGATAAAAGCGATTGTCGATGCCCCTGTACCGAGAAATGTGACAGAAGTAAAATCATTTGTGGGTCTAGTCAACTATTACTCTAAGTTTGTCCCCAATATTGCGGGTGTTTTGAGACCTTTGTATGACCTTTTGAAGAAAGATGTAGAATTTTGTTTTGATGACGAGTGTATGAAATCGTTTAAGAAAGTTAAAGAGCTATTGTGTACGGCTCCTGTGCTAGCACACTATGACCCCCAAGCACCAGTAATACTTACAGTAGATGCAAGTAACTATGGTCTAGGTTGTATTCTCAGTATAATAGACAAAGATGGTACTGAAAAACCAGTAAGTTTTGCATCACGTACATTGAACCAAGCAGAGCAAAACTATTCACAAATTGATAAGGAGGCATTAGCTGTAGTTTATGGTGTTAAGAAATTCCACCAGTATTTGTACGGGAAGCATTTTACCCTTAAGAGTGACCACAAAACCCTTATTAGTATTTTTGGACCTAAGAAAGGCTTGCCTGTGTTCGCAGCCAGTAGATTACAGAGATACGCCCTGTTCCTGTCAGGGTATGATTTTGACATAAAATATGTTAGGTCAGACAACAATAGCGCCGATGCGTTGTCTAGGTTACCGCTTAAAGTGTCCCCAGCAGATGAGGAACCCGAATTGTTGTGGTTAGGTACTTATTTACACTTTGTTAACACGTTCGCTGCTACGGACGTTCCGGAACGTCAGCCGGGCCACGGCGCCAGGAGCTAAGAACGTTCCAGAACGTCACCGTTCATTGTTGTTTAACGTTGCTATGGATAAGCCAGCACGTCACAAGCGTTCTATATTTCTTTGCAGCTCGTGGGGACGTACTTTTCTGACAATAAAAAATATAGTTTCCCAAATCACCACCAGGGTTGTTTGGAACAGGGCTTTGTTTTACCTCTTTCCTGCTAGATAGCGACACTACTTTACCGACTGTAACCTGGGTAGTGCTGCTATCTATCAGAATCACTTATTACTAAATCCAATGCCAGTATTATTGCAGAACATTGCCATCCAGTATAACTACTGTTGTTTTTACTGTAATTCAGTGTATCGGTGGCAATGTAACGCAGCGGCCGAGCGTTAGTTCAGCAACTGGCGCCGTCCCGGCATCTAGCGCTCAGCAGCGAACGTGTTAAAGAGAGCTCAGTACCAGTGACATGTGATCAAATTAGAGTAGAAACACAAAAAGACCCGTTATTACGGAGAGTGTTAGGCTATGTCATGTTTGGGTGGCCAAATTTTGTCCCTAAAGAGGAATTTGAATTGTTCCCATTTTATCAGAGGAGGGAGGAACTAGCTGTCGAGCAAGGTGTTTTGATGTGGGGGTACAAGGTAATTGTTCCCAGTAGTTTGAGAAGTTATGTTTTGAATGAACTTCATGCGTCTCATCTGGGCATAACTAAAATGAAGTCTGTTGCGCGTTCTTATTTTTGGTATCCAAGTCTAGACAAAGACATAGAGAACCTTGCTAACAGCTGTTCGTCCTGTCTTCTTGAAAGACCAAATCCTAGTAAAGCCGAATTGCATCATTGGCATTACCCGAGTAGACCATGGGCTAGGTTACATGTAGATCACTTAGGCCCATTCAAAGGAAAGTTGTATCTGATAGTAGTTGACGCACATTCAAAGTGGCTGGAAGTTTTCGAAACTAGTTCGACTTCAGCCAATCACACTATAAATCACCTTCGTGATTTGTTTGCACGGTTTGGTTTGCCAGAATCAATCCATAGTGACAACGGTCCTCCATTCAGTTCAATGGAGTTTGCCTCATTCTTGAAACATAACGGTATCAAGCACACAACGTCGGCTCCGTACCATGCTCAAAGTAACGGACAGGCCGAGAACTCGGTTAAGTATGCTAAGGCAAAGTTAAAATGTGCATTTAGGGAAAATGTAAATACTTCTGTAGCCTTAAGTAGAATTCTTTTTGACTATCGCAATTCTGTGCACATGACCACTAATGAGACACCTGCTATGTTAATGTTTAACAGACCTTTGAGAACCCGATTAGACCTACTCAGACCTAATTTGTCTGAGACTGTACATAGACAACAACAAGCTCAAAAGATGTATGCTAGGGGTAGTAAGACTCGATATCTGTTTGAAAACCAAAATGTATTGATTAGAGATTATAGATCTAAGGATAAGTGGATTGAAGGATGTGTGGTTAGACAGATAAGTCCAACTATGTATATAGTTAAGTTAAGTTCGGGTGTTACGTGGAAAAGACACATTGATCAGCTGATAGCTATCGACAGTGGCCCAGTGTTGACATCAGACGCAGACAACAGGCCCACAGCAACTACAGTCATCGCGCGCCCAGCTGTTCAGAGTACACCAGCTGAGCGTGACGTCAGTCCTATGACGCGCGAGCTTCCGGGACATAGTACGCGCTCGTCCCTCTCTCCCACCACTCCGCGGCGCTCTATGGTTCCACAAACAGCTGATCGCAACTCACCACCAGCTGTACACCGTACACCTGTACAACACCGTACGTCCACTACACCACAGAGACGTTATCCCATGAGAGCTAGGAAACCAGTCGAGAGAATAGATTTATAATTAGTTTGTTTTGTTGTCATATAACGGTTGTTGTGTTTGTGTGTTGTTAGGTTGTTTTATTTATGTATTTGTTTGTCAGCATTTATATTCTATCTGTTTACTGATACTGAAATTGAAAAATAATTATTGGTCACATTTTATGGTCAGATTTAAAGGGGAGGAATGTAATATATTTATATAAGTAATATAACAGATTTTACTATTTAATAATTTACAAGGCTATGTTGGCAATATTTAAATATGTACGTTGAACTGTAACCGTTTGTATTTCCCACTACCAGTTAATAATATTTGAATAAACGAATGCTATTGGACGATCGGGTCACGCCACTTCCCCAACCCATGAGTCCATGTTAACCGACACCTCTACACCTCAGTTATAGCCAGCTTCCATCCTGAGTAACTCCGGCCCGGTCGGTCGTTAGCAGTTTACAGTGTTAAACCGTAGTGCTCATTAACTTCCCGATTCCCGTAGTGTAAGACGTCAGGGTGACGTAGTGACTTAGTTACAGTGTATAAGGATAGCACCGTGTCAACGAAGGTACGTCAGGGTGACGACATTTCAGTTTGGTACTGCCATGTTGGAAATAACCTGCTCTTTCGCGTGGGATATTTCGTTTTGCTGCAGTCCCAACGACATCCATGCAGCGACTGCCAAAAAAAAGATGTGTAATTCACTCCTGTTAACTAACCTGATTGACCAGGTTGTGTCATTCTGTTATGTTTATATGCTTTGTTAGTAAACAACATCGAATCGTTCTGGTAATTTCGCTTAGAGACGATGAAATAGGGAATATTTAGAAAACGACAATTTTAATGAAGTTTCGGGACATGAATGTTGCCCATCAGAAACATATTTTGTGGGATTGAGATATTCTGACAGAAGATATTTATCATTGTTCAGTTAATCTCATTGGAGGTGTAGTATTAGGGACAGGTTATATGCCAATTACTGTCAAGTTTAATATGATATTATACATTGTAAAAGAGTTGATCTTTTTTAAATATCAACAGATTATCCTTGTATATACTTCTCAATGACAATGATCGTGACATTATTTACATTTTTCGGCAGGAGGGCGCAACTGTTTTGTGTGCCTAGTAGTAAAGCCCTGTTTAGGCTTACACGAGGCCAGTTGGCAGGCAGGCTACAATAATTAGTGAATTTCAAGTTACCTGAGGCAGGTAACCTACCTGCCTACTGGCCTTATTCAAACGTTGCTTTAGTGACTATAACTTTTAAGCCATCATAATGGTACTCACATACAAGCTCTAACAGCGGTTTTAGATAGATTTCTTTCTATTTACATTAAAATGTTAGTTTATGATTAGGTGTCTGTCGGCCAGCCTTTCTTACTTTGAGTCTGGTAACAAATTTGGCCTTCAGGATGCTTTGGCAATTGTACACTATTGAGGTAATATGGTATTGTACATGATCTCGCCCTCATCATGGTGAAATTGTGAACATCTTCCATGTTCATGGATGGATCTTCCAGTCTAGACAAAATCGTGAACGTCTGCTCAGGATTGCGGCAAAACTGTCAATCATCAATTTTCAATCAAAATCTTCTCTAATCGGCTTTCTGTGATCGTCAAAATAAAAGCTCAGCTTGGCTTGATCAAACCCAAGCTTGGCCTGAAACGACCCCTCAGTCCAACTGTTGATCCGAACCAACCTGAAAATATTGGAGACATGCAGACTCCTATTTATGATATAGACTTATGAGATAAATGTACCTGGAAGGTGATGAAACACTTGCGTATATCATTGGGGTCGATGCCAGGCAGTATAGCCATTAGCAGAGGGATAACGTGGGTGGGGCCCTCCTTGTAGTCATTAGGCTCTATCATGGGCCGAGCTACTGACACCAGACTCAGCATGGCTGCAGTGTACTTGTGAGGCTCAGTGAGAGAGTCCAGGGTATTGTACATGCTGTAGACAAAAGGAACAGTGTCAAATACTCAACACCAAAAGAGTGAGATAGAGAAACATTTTGTAAAGGTCATCTGCTATCCACCATTGCATTACTCATTGTGTTAGGGGTTATATATAAATAATACTGTTTTAGGATTAAGATATTATTACAATTTTATGATTTTTAGTGTGTAACAAGTTAAAGTTAGAGTAGCCTACACAAAACAAACAAAATACAGTAACTTCAAATATCCAAATCACCGATTTTCCAAATTGCTTCCAGAACAAATTTTAAGAACTGAAAACCCCAATTAATAAGAGTTGTTGTTAAAGAATGCAGAAGACGAGATCACGGTAAAATAAAAAATCTCTCCCATGAACAGTAGACATAATTATCGTCTCCCACGGTCACAAACACATTGTCATTGTTTTTTGCGATCACGGAAAATCGTGAACATCTTCAACGATCTTGTAGACATCATCATCGTCTCCTGCGGTTACAAAACCATCATCATCGTTTTCTGTAGCTATGGCAAAGTGTTAAAGGTATCACAGTGGCATGTAGACATGATCATCGTCTCCCACTGTCATAGAACATTGACATTGTTTTCTGCGATCACGGCGAAATCTTTAACATCTTCTGCGGTCTTCTTACACAGCCGCAGTGTATGATCAAAATTTTGCGGTGATTGCCAGGAAGACGATGATAATGATCCCATGAATGTAGGATGTGTTTCTGGCTTTCGCCATCACAGGAGACAAGTTTCTTATACTGCTGAGTGATATTAAGAATTTTCCCCGACTACGGAAGACAGTAACAGTAGAATATATACATCAACATGAAAAAATGAACCAATTGAAACTGTTACTATCCACTCTAAAGAAAATAAACACACTATATTAGTTAATAATAATATAAAAATAAAAATCATAGGAAATTACTGGGTTTTTCATGGACAACCATGGTCTGTCTCGTTGGCCCTCATATATTTCCTATAAAATAAAGCATAACATACTGTTGTAAAATATTTGTAGTAATTTAAATAACAAAATTTTAAACTGAACTACAAAATATATACTTTTATTAACAAACTAGCAGTTACCCAGCACGCGTTGTTGCGCTAACAACTATTATTTTAAATAATTTTAAACTTTAACCTTAAAACCCTCTGGGGCGGAGCCTTTTTGACGGATCTGCTCCAAACTTCACACAAATCATCCTTGAATAATGCTTAATAATGCCTGAAAGTTTCATTACAATGTGTCTAGCGGTTTCAGAGTCCATAAGGTACATACATACATACATACATAGTTCCTCTTTTATAGATATAGCTAATTTCAATACCACTGTAATTGCATATACAGTTTAAACAATATAATTTACTTTCTATTATTTGTAGCTGGGAGTAATGAACCCAGGTATATAAACCTCTCAATTGCTATCTACACAGTAGGAACCAACAATGTAAGTTATTGGCATGAGATCAAGTGTGATAGTAAAGATCAATAGAGCAGGCTATATGTAGAATGGCTTGGCACACAACATAGAACTCTTTTATAGATTTTGTTAAAAACTTGGGTGTTATAGGAATTAAAGTGAACTGTCTTCCTACTTTTCCCTATTGACTTTAGCAGGCTGATCTACTAGTTACTTAGACTAACTCTATGTAATTTAGACTAATAAACTTTACAGAACTATATTCCTTGCCAACTCTATTGAAACTACGTTATTTCACGATTCTGAATCAACCACTTGACAGATTTTCATTGTTTTGGAGTTGAAGGAAAGATAATTTTTAGATCTAGGGAATGTCGAAGCCATAGCCTAATTTTAGTTTACGTTTTCAGTTTTTTGGAAATAAAGGTTTAATTTGTTTAAAGTCTAGCAGCCGATGCTAACATTCTAGACTAGCTTTTGGTATATTATTATTTGCTTAATGCAACAGCTGTAAACATTCAGCGTTTGTGACACAAAATTCAGCATTTGGATAAAAATCAAATTACATGCATAGGTTTGACTTATTTATACCATGTGTAGTGCTGTAATCATTGATGCGTTCATTTATTTGGTAACAGATTATTTAAATATAGCCTACATAGTCAAATACTAGATTTTCTAATTTATTTCTTGGAGAAATCTTTAAAATCTTGGGTTTGTCTCAGTACAATATACAGTAATTTGCTTAAACTAACAGCTGGATGGATTTTAAAATCTTCTATAGAACTATGAGGTTATTTTATTTAGTCTATGATTTTGTCATTGATTATAGGAAATAAGTAAGATTAGTAGCTAGATAAGTAGACTACAGAGATAAGTAAGACCATTATTGCTGTATACAAATGGAAGCTCTGTCCACAAGCCTTTAACGAAAAATCTGTCTAAGGTGGTCACATGATTGTTTACAGGATGATTTTCCCTATTAAAACTGTCACAATTTTTGTCTATTCTTGTAAACTAGCTGTTTTGAATTCAGGAATCAAGGTATAACTATAAGTGACAATCTCTATCCTTTACACAGTAGAGGTGCTGAAGCCACCTTCTGTGTTAAGCAAAGGTGCAACAGGCAGCTCCACTGCCCGCGGAATTTTAATTCACCGCGATTCATTAACCAAAATTTCAACTTAACTTTTACATTTACATTTTTTTTTGTTTATCCTTTAGTTTAGCCTTTAGGCAGGTGTAAAGTGAGAAGTTAAATTCTCAACCGAACCTGGCCGCCGTCGCTGCATCGCAGGCAGTAGAGTGGGAGCCGATCGGATTACTTTTTATACTTTACTTTACTTTAATACTTTATATTTAAATTAATTACTTCAATTACATTCTACATCCACATTTCTTTCTCCAGCTTTTAACAATAGTTATTGATATTTCGGAATAGTGAACCATCATTTAAGTTAAAATTAATACATGTTTCTTAGGTAAACAAATACATTCACAGTTTTGCAAGCGAATTATTCTTAAATCTGAATTTTCTAAACATAACACTTCAGTAATAATAAAAAACTAACTGTGTTTTATTTTCTCTGTTATCTAAACTCTCAGCGACAAATAAATTTAAAAAATGTATCTTCAAAAATATCACTTAAAAGGCCTTAAAACACGAATTAAGTTTTATTTTCCTCTCTAAATTGTAAACTGTTAAGTTAAGACATCATTCATAAATATATAATTATCCTTCCAAACAAAAATTATTGAAAACATAATTCATGTAAATCATTAAACAAATAAAAAATACTTGGGAAACAATGTATAATAAATCTACTGGCCTTAAAACGTAATTGTTTTATTTACGAAGATTCTAAATTCTTATATGTGAATTTTTCACAAAACAATTTTACTATATAGGTGAAGCCCCACAATGTAATATTTTGTGCTTATAGTTTTTGTTAACAAAACAAAATGATTTTGTTCAGGGTCTTGTTTTGAGAAGTGTTCATTATCTTTAAAAATGTCCGTACCAATACAACGTTTCATTACTTTACTTAAGATAACAAAACGTGCAATACAAACAAACACAACTAGTTGAGATGGCTGTATAAGCCCCCCAAGACGTCTGCCTCTAGGGAGACTCATTGCCACCAGAGGTTCCGGCGTTTCAAGGTCGGCTTCAGTCTGCGCTCCACATTGCCACTCTATGGTATGCCTTGCTCGCTGTTTGAATTACAGAACCCCAGTAACCGAAATAAAGGGGGGAGAGCCGTTTCGGATAACCAATCTTTCGGTTAACCTGTCATATGCTAAAAATAGCCTATGTATTACCTCGGTGAGTTGGGAAAATGAATTTAAAACAATGTCTATATAATACAGTATTTTATTTCAGCTACATAAATGTTAAAATGGGCTAGAAAATACTTCAAACTATAAAACTGAAGTTACTAAAGCATTTTACATTACGTATTACTTATACTTTAGCCCTGTATTATTTTATGGAACCTTTTCGGTTAACCGGTGTTCTACTGTATATCCAATTATAATCGACTACTTGATTCCCTTACCCAGGACGGGCAAACAGCTAGTTTATCTTATCTTTGGATAAGAATTATTTTATACAATTGCTAAAATAATCATCCTTTATTTTAAAAACAATAGGAAAAATATTATTTTCTTCTAAATAATACCTAAAATAACTTCCAGACTCCATAGTTTTCTTCGTGGAAAGGCTCTAGGTCAGGATTTTGAATTGTGGAATTAAGAGGATAGCAGGTAGCTTACCTTTAGAAGAAGTACTGGTAGCCCATGGAACACATAGAAGACAAAGAGAAACACAATATTGCGTCCTCTGGGGGACTTTGTCAGGTGTAGAGAAAGGGAAAGAGAGTTGTTATGTGTTCAATGACCTGTACTTCTTCTAAAGGTAAGCTAGCTCCTATCCTCTTTATTCCTCATATGAAAATCCAGACTCCATAGATCATTACCATAGATTAAACACACTCCCTTAATAGATTTCGCATCCTTATGGAACAGCTGAAGCCAAATTTTATTATTAGTTCTGTCCGGTGCACTGTTGTAGAGGTTGTGTTTTGTTTACTTCATTGTTATTTCAGTCATTTTAAACCTTGTTTAACCAAATAAAATGATCTAATTATAAACAATAACACGTACCCTAGTTATATAACCAAACAGTAAAGCACAAATTATGAATTTAACCCTAAAATAATAGAAACGAAATTTCGACGACACTACAACTAGTGACACTGACAATGAACGATGAACTAGACACGAAAAATGAACTTCAAAATTTACAATGGTATGAGAAGTCTACTGGTGTTGGTTAGCCTATGTCATTACTAGATAGCACCAGTTAACTTTTTCCAACACACCTCTCAATGATGGGAGGTATGACAATGTTTGGCCGCAAGGTTGCCAAGTACTGAAGAGGAAGGCTGATCTCTGATGCTACTCGGGAATACATTGCCAGTTTTACACTTGGAGCCATGCAGTCCACAAACAACGTGATGTCTTCCTCTGTCAGTCGGGCCCGCTCTGGTATACTGGGAAGCCATGAGGGCTTGTGGTGTCGTTCTCTAAAAACAAAATTACATTTATTTCTTTATTCCACACTCATATGCCACTTTAAGTAGTTGAGATGAAAAATACCGTGAATTTGCAATAATGGTCAAGAACGGAATGTTCTTTTACCAAGGAATTTAGCGTTTTGGTAATAGGTATTTTAATGTTTCGCTGGTAACAAGATTAGCGTTATCTCACTCACTCAATCTAACAGTTCAGACAACCTAATAAAACAATATAATATATTCAGTAATCTATTACCGGTACTAAGATACTCCTATTCTTTTGTGATGCTTGCCATTAATAGGAAAAATCAATCAGCGTTATTGCACTCGCTTGTTCTAACAGTCCAGACAATGCTAAAAGAATAATATAGTTCTCAGTAATCTGTTACCATTTACCAAGATACTAATAATTTGTGATGCTCGCTGGTAATAGGAAAACAAGATCAGCGGGATGGTTATTAAATAACGCCAACATCTATAGCGTTAGCCATGAGTCATTCTAGACTAACTATAACTTTATTTTATATGTAGCAAAGTGTCAACGGACAATATTATTGATTTATTATTTTCTCTTCCTTTATTAAAAGACTATAATGTACTTATAAATTAATTATCTTTTACATAAAAAAAAAAAATAGTTAAGCTTAGGAAAATACAATGTTGCTAATTCAACACTTACAAATTTAATCTATGTATGAAGTGATGGGTGATTTTCCTAAGAAACTCTCTCAAGCGGGCGACCCACGTCCCAACATTGGCCGGGTGAAAGTAAGACTCCATCACTTTCATCATTCTGGTCAGATATGTCTGTGAACTACTCCCTCCACCCTGCAATCATTTACCACTAAAAAATGTGTTACATAGTATATATGGTCTAAAAGTGCACTTTTTGGTTAGTATTAAAAATGTTTCCTGGAACCAAAAAAAATGGGATTGAGAACAGCTAAAAACGTTTAAATGTAAAGTTTGATCAAGTGACACCTAATTTTTAAGGCCTTTGTAGAAGAAGAATATCAGCAAAACCAGAGGTCTTTATCTCAATCCAATACATCATAGCATTCGTTTGAAAATGGATCAAAAATACATATTTATGTGACACTGGTGAAAATTTTATGTGATCCCCATTTTGTACTTTGTTGAGATTAGTGATGTGTCGGTCCCATTTTTTAAAGGTTCGGTTCCGGTTCGGTTCTTGGCCGAAAAAGGTTCTCGCTTCCCGGTTCAAGTAAAAAAAATGAGAAAAATTTGAACCAGTTTACACACGCTAAAATTTGTTTAAGCACTTGAGTTTATTTAAAAACTACAAATGCGTCTGTCAGTAGCAGTACTTCCACCTCTTGATACTATTTTAGAAAAGAGGTGTGCGGTACCAAAGGTACCAAACTTTACCTTTTCGAGATGGCGAGCACTCTGGATATGTGGAACTACAATTTATCAGTGAATTATACCCTAAATATTTTTTCGAGTACACAGGGAAGTTGCCTGAGAAACTGTGACTTACAATTTCGGTTCTGGCAAAAAAGTGTGTGACTTGATGTTTAAAGGCAAAGTTGACTCGGGTCATTACAGCATTATACAACTCATCATAATCCCCAGGGTGTAAAAAGTACAAAAAGAAAAAGAAAAGGTAAAATGTCATTCACCATGCGTAAAGAGACAACCAGAAGAAAAAAAGTTTGGAGAATCATGGAACTAAAAAGTAAATACGAAATAGCAATGTTGGTGTTAAATGTGCTCTGGAAGTTCCTAAAAAAACGCCGACTCTTTTGAATTGGGGTCGTTAAAATGGATTTATCACGACTGCAAATCTATGAATTTAGAGTCAGAACAGACTAATAGGGACACTTTTTTTTCTTTTTTTTTTTTTTTGCTCGTATCTACGCCAGTGGCATTTTTGTAAGAAGTCAAACACTTTTAGGGAAAGCGGTCCAAACCCATTAAAGTTTTGTGGATGTGCCGGGGATTGAACCCGTCCCTCCCGCACAAGGAGGTTGTCACAAGGGAGGTAAAATTAGCTTCTTATCAACATTCTGAGTTCATAGAAAATCTTATCAACGGGGCTACATAGACTATAAATAAAGAATTAAGTATTAAAAGTAAACAAAAAAACGTTCAAAAACTATTTGAATAATATAAGATCATACAACTCTGCATTTACAATGGCGAATTTATAAGTCTCACAGGTCTCACTTAGATGAATCATCATTCTGGTAGTCTATATAATTTTTAGATCCGGGACTCCTTTTACCATTGGATTGGACCGTTAATACCATCTAACATTGAACCAAAGTATGTCCAACTTTATATTATAGCTTTGACTATCAATACAACTAGACATTCCATCCCCATGTTAAATTTGCAGCCAGTTTTTTTTTTTTTTTATCAAAATCGTCGTAGTTGATGTGAGCCACCTACAGATTGCGCTGATCATAATTACTAAATTCTGCCGAATACACAATCTTTTTTACCAAGTCATATAGGCAATGGCTTATAGCAACTGTTATGATCCATCAACCTAGTGAGCAACTAACAAAACTACAAGATCGCGCCACTCATCTCCATTCATACTTGGCTTAAAATACTTACTTTGTATGGTCGCCATTTTAATGAAAAGTATTAAAGTATTATAGCAACAACAAATAAGGTATGAATAGAATTGTAGACAGTAGCGCATTCTTTGACTGGCTCACACAACTACATTCTTTTTTAATAAAAAATGGCTACAGCTGGTCCATATAGATGTGAAGTCTACTTCAGTATCCAATAGTCAATGATTATAGCCTATACGACGTAAACCAGGGTGTCTACTACATTCTGGATAAAAAATTCATGGACAATTCCCGTACATTTAAGGAAACTTTGCCGTAACCTTTATCAGTGTCATCAGGCCTACCGAATAATTTTCCTGATTTGTCAAACTGTATTAATCTTGTTATTAACTGTAGTTGTACCAGAGAGAAAAGTAAATAATAATAGATAAGAGTTAAAAATTTCAAAATAGAAATTCATTGAAAGTAAACAAGCATAGGCCTACCTATACTTCAGGTAAAGCTTTTATAGTGTAACAGAGAAACGCAATCATTGTCTCCTGCGATAGCGACAAATATCTCCATCGGTCACGTAAACTTCATAACACAGCTTATCCGATCCAGGCGGATTAATTTGGCATGATTCGCCCTGGCACAATATTGGCTCGCAAACCAAGCTACAATAATACTACAATAATACACAATATATGGCTCTCGACTACTTTTGAAAAAAAAATCTTTAATGCACATTGTTACTCAGTTCTTAGTACAAAATCAAGGTATGGTAAGCAGCTACCAATAAGCAATAAGCACAGAGTAAGATTATTGTATTTTCATTTGCTAAGTTAATATCGACACATAGCAATCATTAGTTGTTTATCTAGGCTCAATTACATTTTCTTAATATATTTTACAGCTCTTTCAAGAATCAAAATACCCAGGTCTAGACCTAATTATTTAGGAGGGCCTATATAAACTGGGTAACAAACAATGAGGTTATAATAGCAGCAAAGTCACTATCATCATTCTAGTTCATAAGATTTAGATTGCTTAAAGCATACAACTCAATAAATAAATATATGGGAAACAAAAAACATTGAAACCTGAATAGCCAACAATATAAGACAAAGATACAGAAAATGCAATGACATAATTTGAAACCAAGCAGGCCTACATAGTGATAAAACATTAATGCAAACAACAATGCTTGTGGTTTTGTCAATTGAAAGATAAAATATCCATAAAAAAGGGGTTAACTTACAAAATAAGTCTGTAGATTATTTACATGTTTAATATGAAACCATAAACAGTTTTATGGCACTAGGCAATGGCCGCGGCAAATTGAATCTTCAAGCCGAAAGTACAAGTAAGTAGTGAAATTTAACAGCCATTATAAAGCTATTAGTTTCACAATAAAATAGTTTTGGGATCTCATAATAATTCCTCATAATACAATCTCATAATAAGCCCTAGTAATAAAAAAAGAAGTTGTAAAGGAATAAAAGTGATACAACTTTTATGAGCTAGCTAACTGAGTCAACAGTTCTTGGAAGTACTTGACTTGACACTTGATTGTCGTGATAAAATATTAATGGGTTTAAAATTGCTAATGGGATTTTTATTGCATAATTACTCTAGTAATAAATTATGAAAATGTAAACAAACATCTGATAAACCTTTTATGTGCTCCTAACCAACTAGCGATCAATAAAATTATGGCCCATTAAAAATTTAAGGACATAGTCTGGCATTTAAGGACAATTCCCGTACATTTCATGGCCAGTAAAAAATTAAGTACAATTCCCGGTTTTCCCGGATTTCCCGATTGGTAGACACCCTGGTAAACACAGCTGTTACTCACAGAATGGGCCAAAGATTTGTGAAATGCGACCAACTGCTGATGTGTGATTTAAGTGACTATCTTTATTCCACACAACAAATGTAATGAGCAAGAATTATCTCAATAGCATAAGTAGCTTTTTGGGTTATCAGCATTGCACAGTTCATACACTATTTATTATTCAAATGTAACTTGAGTTGATTTAAAAAATTCATTTGGTTAAACTAATATATCGGTTTGATTAACATATATATAGTTTATACAGGCCAACTATCCATTCTACTTCATGTAAAAAATAAATTAAGCAGCCCCTAAATAAATTCCAAAGATAAACATATTATGTCTTTTATTGCTGACAGTATTCCCATGGCGGAGCACGGGCGGTTAACTAGTTTTAGGTAAACTACTAAAAGACAAAAGGTTTCTGGTAAACATAATTTAATTTTAAGCCTAGTATTAGGCTTGTACTTAATTAATTTAGTGCAGGAGTTTTCAAAATGTTCATGAACCATAATTATTGTTTTATAACAGCAAAATTTGGAATATAAACTAGATTTTTTTTTACATTTTGTTTGCTCATATACCTCCATGGTCAAAAATGTAAATAATGTTAGGCATATCATTTACATGTTTTTGATTGTAAATAGATATGTACGAAATATATTTACCAAAGTAGCAACAATCCATACAGTTACAGCAGATGTGCTAAGTTTGTGAGCCTTGTTGACCTTCATCTTCTTGAAGTTGACAGGCAAGTTGAAGTTGCGGAGGATACGAGTATACATGAGTGCCATATGAGGCTCCCAATCTATATGGCCTACATTGTGTGAAGCCACTCTAGATATGATACTCATCATATGCTGAAATAACAAAGTATAATTGATTACGTTTACTCATAAAAACTAATTTGCAAATAAATGTGCCTATGCAAAAATTAGCTAAAAAGAGTTTACTAACAGGTCATCTAGTGTAACGTCCTGATCACATCACAAATAAATCTGCCTATCTAAACATTGGCTAAGAGAGTTTACTAAGAGGTCATCTAGTGTAACGTCATAATCTCATCACAAATAAATGTGCCTATGTAAAAATGAGCAAAAAGAGTTTACTAACAGCTGTCATCTAGTATCCTGGTCGCATATGAATGTGCCTATCTAAAAACGGGCTAAGAGAGCTTACTAAAAGGTCATCAGTGTAACAACCTGATCACGTCGCAAATAAATGTGCCTATGTAAAAATTAGCAAAAAGAGTTTACTAACAGCTGTCATCTAGTATCCTGATTACGTCGCATATGAATGTGCCTATCTAAAACGGGCTAAGAGAGCTTACTAAAAGGTCATCAGTGTAACAACCTGATCACGTCGCAAATAAATGTGCCTATGTAAAAATGAGCAAAAAGAGTTTACTAACAGCTGTCATCTAGTATCCTGGTCGCATATGAATGTGCCTATCTAAAAACGGGCTAAGAGAGCTTACTAAAAGGTCATCAGTGTAACAACCTGATCACGTCGCAAATAAATGTGCCTATGTAAAAATGAGCAAAAAGAGTTTACTAACAGCTGTCATCTAGTATCCTGGTCGCATATGAATGTGCCTATCTAAAAACGGGCTAAGAGAGCTTACTAAAAGGTCATCAGTGTAACAACCTGATCACGTCGCAAATAAATGTGCCTATGTAAAAATGAGCAAAAAGAGTTTACTAACAGCTGTCATCTAGTATCCTGATTACGTCGCATATGAATGTGCCCATCTAAAAACGGGCTAAGAGAATTTACTAAAAGGTCATCAGTGTAACAACCTGATCAGATCACGTCGCAAATAAATGTGCCTATGTAAAAATGAGCTAAGAGAGCTTACTAAAAGGTCATCTAGTGTAACGTCCTGATCACGTCGCAAATAAATGTGCCTATGTAAAATTTAGCTAAAAGAGTTTACTAACAGGTCATCTAGTGTAACGTCCTGATCACATCACAAATAAATCTTCCTATCTAAACATGGGCTCAGAGAGATTACTAAAAGGTCATCTAGTGTAACGTCCTGATCATGTCGCAAATAAATGTGCCTATGTAAAATTTAGCTAAAAGAGTTTACTAACAGGTCATCTAGTGTAACGTCCTGATCACATCACAAATAAATCTTCCTATCTAAACATGGGCTCAGAGAGATTACTAACAGGTCATCTAGTGTAACGTCCTGATCACATCACAAATAAATCTTCCTATCTAAACATCGGCTTAGAGAGTTTACTAACAGGTCATCTAGTGTAACGTCCTGATCACATCACAAATAAATCTTCCTATCTAAACATGGGCTCAGAGAGATTACTAACAGGTCATCTAGTGTAACGTCCTGATCACATTACATATAAATCTGCCTATATAAACATCGGCTTAGAGAGTTTACTAACAGGTTCCCAAACAGGAGCGTTGTGACAAGTTTTCCAAAGATCCATGAATTCATCAAGCCACAACTTGTAACCCAAGCTGGTCTCTTGTGGCAGAAACACTGTGGGAAGGAATGTGTCCAACAGTTCCATAGCATTCTGAATGGCGACGGAATCAAACGGACAAAGTTGAGGACGCCACTGCTCCAACATCTCTTGGGTGGCAGACGACTCAAAGTAACTGTGGACACACAGAGAGGTTGCACAATAAGCCCTTGTACACTACTGACTGTACACTACCTGGAGGTGGACAAAATGTTTATCAGCCTCTTTACACTACTTTATTGTTAAAACCTGCTTACACAATATGTTTCTAGTAATACTTTTAGTACAAGCAAGCATATATTATTAAAATTACAGACTACTTATTATTGACAATTTAGACATTTTATTAGCACCCATAGAAACCAAAACTCACTATAAAGAGTAGGTCTAAATGATTGAGGATAAGCCAGTTGTTATAACTTCTTTACAAGTTATTAGGGGTCTGCGGTGCACCAAAAAAGTCGGCACCGAAAAAGTCTTTTATCATAAAAATAATAGTTTTATGATGACTGTAAATTTTATCTCTAATTCAGTCAGTATTTTAGTGAATATTCGATTTGCCGCTGGCCATTGCCTACTGCCATAAAACTGTTTATGGCTTCATATTAAACTTGAAACTAATCTACAATCTTATTTTATAAGTTACGATATTTGTTAGGAATATTTTATCTTTCTACTGATGAAACCACAAGCGTAGTAGTTGTTATTTGCATAGTTTTTTCCGTTATGCAAGCCTACTCCGTCTTAAATTATGTCATTGCATGTTATGCATCTTGTCTTATATTGTTAGATGTGGCTGTTTAAGGCTTACATGTTTTTTAGTTTCCTGTATTTTTTATTGTGTTGAAGGTACTTTATGCAATCTAAATCTTATGAACTAGATAGTGATTTTGCTACCCTCATTGTAACCTAATCAATTTATATATAGGCCCTCCTAAATAATTAGGTCTAGGCCTTGGTCTTTTGATTCTTTGGAAGAGCTTTAAAATAGCCTATACTAAGAAAATTGGATTGAGCCTGAGATAAACTAATGATTGGTAAGATTTATATTGTGGATATTAACTTTGTAAATGAAAAGACAATAATCTTACTCTGTGATAATCCAAATTTTAGTTTCAGAAAAAAACTTTGCAAGAGTTGTATCCATCTTATAACTAGTTTTGAAGCTGATAAAAAAATATGCTCTTTGCCATTACTTCATCATAGCCTCCAGTTTTTCATTTTCGTCTGCTGTGAACAGCTGGCAACTACACTGTCTTTGTACTGAATGCTTTTATATATTTTTTTTTTTATTTAAATAACAACAAGGTAGACATAGTGTTGGTTGGAAATAATTTACCAGTTGTGTAAAATTATCTTGTCAATAAATGTTTTAACATGTTTATTCCTTAAAACTCTTATCCTATTTTTAAGCCCACTTTTATCATGGCTATTCAAAGTATCTCAGAGTAAAATAGGTAAAGCCTTTATCTTATCTGTGATTTTTCTTGACACAATCCTCGTAGTAGTAAAAGGTTTTGTTTTAATAATGTGTGGTACAGTAATTGTTGTTAGAAAACTATGAATGTAGGATACTATCCATTTTCATAGTAATTTCAATGTATTAAAGTTAAAAATAATGGTTTAAATACAGTTCTGAGCAGAAAACCGCAAAAATACGGGTAGCCGCGTACCGTACCAATTTTGTACTGAGAACCGAGGTACAAAATATTGTACGGTACCGACCCTAGATTTTCTGTACCGCAGACCCCTACAAGTTATGTATAAAGTAATATTTAACTTGCTACTAGATGATATTGATGCTCTAATCATTAATACTTACACTCTAGCAACAATGAGTAGGTCTGCCAATGCATTTTCAGTGTTTCTGAAACAAAGTACGATCATTACTAGCTCATTAATAACACCCAAAAACTCATTAATAACACATTATATATCACATTGAATAGCTGTACTTCTCTTATCAGACCTCAAAATAACTGACCGCTTCTGATCGCCAGCTATGTTTCGTCTTGTCTTCTGACCGTGCAAGTCTTAAAATTAGTCATTAGCGTTACAAAGTTTTAGATTAAAATATTGTGCATTATAAAAATCTTTTAGGAGTGTTTGAAATTGAATTAACATGACTGACTCTAGATTTTGCTCCCCCCATTCCCTAAACTCTAACGTGGCGTCGTACTCTGCGTCCAGGTTAGCGTCAGAAGTGTTCTCATCTAGCATCACGTCTTGTACTGTATCTGTTCATCCATAGTGAAGACATTGTCACATGTCGCCTCTATACTTAAATATTGTGTTTCAATGGCTACCAGGGGTTCTTCTTTTGGCAAATCTTCTTTTAAAGCATTTTCAATATTATTATGTGCTTTCAAAAATTGTCGCCGAAGCTGTCTTCTTTTCCTGTTTAAACGTATTAGGTCATCTCGTCATCTGCCATTTTTTTATTAATTGACCTTCAGGTTTTATACAATAATTAATACTTCAAAATTATTTATTCATCTAATAATCCTGACCAGGGTCGCCAAAAATGTAAACAAACTTCAAATATGAACCAATTCTCTTAATAAAGTCAAATAAAATCAGTCTCAAGTTAGTTGGAAAAATTTACTATTTCTTTTTTAACACACTGTTTACATTAGTCATAGTCATTCATGTTTCTTTTTAATTATCATAATTAAACATCTGTTAATATATCTGAAATACAAATCATATCTTTACAAAGAGGATAATATTGAATTAAATAACAACAATATTGCATATCATATAACAATTGTAGTGAGAGAATGTGCAGTTTGGCGTTTCCAGTATTTTGGTTTTGTTGGTAAAGGTGGGGATGGTGGAAAGCCTAATTGAGTTTGCAGTTTACGTGTCGTTTCTGCTATCTTCTTTAATCTAAATAATTCCTTTGGATTTAAATTGATTTTACATATAGTACAAGGCTGATTTTGATTGTTTAAAAATCTGAAAATTATACTGTGATATATTTTAAAGTTATGCACAAGTAGTAAAGTAGTGCTATTAGTTTGTGTGTGTGGCTACACTGCCAGCGCGTTGACGTTACAGCTGGTGTCCCTGAATCGCTCTCAGTTCTACGTTATCTACAGGTTAGTCGCAGTCATAATTTCAATGTGCGGTTCCTTTAACCTAGTGGTTAGTCGAATATTATACTGGCACAGTCGGAGAAATCGGTAAAAATGTCGAGAGTGGGGCGTCTGGGATGATTTAATACCAGTGAAGAAGATATTTCGTCCTATTTGTTTGCGTTTGAAACGTTATTTTATTGCGAATGATGTCAAGGCCACGAGCAATGTTTCTGTTCTAATCACCGTGTTCGGTCCTAAAGTTCTCGCAGTGTTACAAAACAAAAAAGTAAACCGGGCCCGGGTCCAAGTCCATGAGTCCTACGGTAATAGCTCATTCCCTATATGGGAATTTTCCTCAAATGTTTTGTTTGGTGGAAAATCGATGTGCTACTATCTATCCAACGATATCTTAAACCTTGTGATCGGATGCGTAGCAGCTTCAAAACAAATGCCACAAAATTCATGTTTGCCTTTTAAATATAGCCTATAGATATAATAGATGTTTTGGCAAATAGCTAGCTAAAACTTACATTTAAATTAGGCTGTTAAATTATTCACAAGTTAGGTAAATAAATACTCACGGAGAAAACCTATAAAGTCCAATGCAGGAATTACTAGAGCACATCAAACGATCATAAATATTGAAGAGAGGTTTCCAAGGCAAAATTAGTTCTTCACGGGATACTAGCTCCTTTTTTCTGCACAAAACAAAAGAAAATGTTAAGTAATTAGATAATGTTTATCTATAACCTGAAGCATTTAGGGTAAACTGTCATCAGACACATTGGATGTAGGCCTCCACGGTACGGACGATTAAAATGTACCAACCAAGGTATTCTGCAGTAAAGACTAGTAGAAGAGGAGTGTTTTAAATTAATGAGATGACACTGACAGGCTTGTTATCTACTTAACATAAGCCTACACTGGTTCTTTAGTCCTCAGAATCATAGGCTACACACACACACACATAGAGAGAGAGAGAGATAGACACACACTGGGAAATTGTATCAGGCCTAATTTATTTTTGTGTTTTTAAACTTTAATACAACTAACTGTAAGCTCTTCCTATACAACCTAAAAACCAGCTAATAAAAAAATGTTAAAACAATATACGGACCTTTTGAATGCATACTGTATACAGTACCGGTAGTTGAATTAAATTTAGGAGACCATTGTATTTGGACACGTGATCACTGGTCTCAAATCTTTCCCACAAGAACAGTCGTTTCAGTACCACCCACTTCCTGCCGATCTAGAGGTGACTAAAATATTAATAGGTGTGTGTATAAAATAACATTAAGTGATAACAGTCTGAATTTTAATAAATTTCCATGAATAAAGTATCAACATGATAAGTTACAGTAGACTTTCTCTTATCCGGACTCCTCGGGACCGAGGCCAGTCCAGATAACGGGTTTTCCAGCTAAACCGACGTCCCCAAAAACCCATTTAAACGGACCTTTTGAATGCATACTGTATACAGTACCGGTAGTTGAATTAAATTTAGGAGACCATTGTATTTGGACACGTGATCACTGGTCTCAAATCTTTCCCACAAGAACAGTCGTTTCAGTACCACCCACTTCCTGCCGATCTAGTCCGGTTAAACCGATGTGCTGATAAAAATTGTTCGGTTGAAGAGATGTCATTTCCACCAAGTGTAGTCCGGTTAAACCGATGTCCGGTTAAAAGGTGTCCGGATATGAGGGAGTCTACTGTACATCAATTAAAACTGTCTCGTTTGATGATAGTCTCTGGCATCCAACGAGAGTTGAAGCTATGAATAGGCCTAGGCTATATGTGAATTAAACATTAAGAAAGTTTTTGTACAGTATTAGTTAAAGTGAAAAAAGGAATTGGGCAAATGGACAAAATCTATTTTAGAATGTAGTTAGTTAATTTTACTTTAGGAGATAAACATAATATAACTTAGCCTGAGTAGGTACCAGTAATATTTATTTAAAAAAACTACTCAAAATAACTTACTTTAATAACCATGTTAAACAAGTTGAAAATCTGGAAATCAACAGTGGCTCCAAATTTGGGATTGTCAACAGCTCGAATATTAATTTGATGAAGAGAATGTGATCTTCTTTTGAAAATTTCAACCCAAACATCTGGATATATCTAAAAATCAGAACATTTTATTAACTTCAATCTTCAATAGGCCTAAACAAGGGCAACGCTTGGTATAGGCCTACTATTGTAATGGTTAGGCTCTACTTATGGTGATCCTTAACATTGTTGAAGGGTTTTTCAGAAAGTAAAGAACCATTACATACTATATCTGAAACCATATTCTAATGTTCTACAGGAACCAAAAGTGGTATTTTATTTTGAGTACGGTAGGTACCGGTATGCACCTAACATTTTTCTTCAACCTTTTGAGCCGAGTCTCGTACAAGGGCGCCAACAGGGAAAACCACGGCTCCCACTGTGGAAATGATAATAAGAGTCTTCATTACCCGCATATTAGATGCGTTTTGGAGGTATGGCCTTGGGGAAAAGTTGTAGATAACTTAGCAAAGGGTCAGTATGCGACCATTCTGAAAACATCTTGAACACCTGACTGACAACTTAAGACATTGTAGGTTAACCAATTTAAAAAAAAAGGGTCATCCTACTTATTTATCAACATTTTTGGCCTAAATTTGCTTTGTTTTGTAGATAATTAGATCGTGCATTGTAAAATACTAATTTTAGTTGGGGTTTCATGAGTTAAAATAAAATATTTTTATAGAAAAGACAGAAATATGGTGCAGTTTATTATCATTTTCAACGTTTGAGTTAAAAAAAACACAATTTAAAATTATTCATTGACATTCATTTTGACATCAATTTTACAATCATTTGCATTAAAAACTAAAGAGAAATCATGTACTGTATAACAAATGTATTTATTGTATATGTACAAAAAAATATGTAAAATTTACTACAAAGAGGTCTCAAAAAATTCTAGGCCCTACCAAGCAAACAACCAAAAAGGACTTGTGTTTGTTACAGACAAAACTATATCATTTTCCATTTGACTGTATTTTATGTTGTTATTAGGCCTATTATGTTTATAATTCAAATTACTATTAGAATACTATTAGAAGCCATCCACAAAATATACAAACGGTCAAAATAAAATCATGCACCTACAGGCCTAGGACTTACCAAGTAGTCTACAGTTACCGGTACGCTTTATGTGATTAGCCACAAACTATCACCAAATGCACAAAAAAGTTGTGGTACCCATATTATAACTTTTTAATGGTATAAAATGTATTTTTCAACGATTCATGACCATAACCTGCAATTCTATAACCAAACAATTTGTAAAAAAAAACATTTATTAGAACGTAAACAGTCGAAACAACAACACATGAACCAGCTGTGTAAAGCCATCTAGCCTACTTACTATTGCGTACCGTTAATGGTTTTTGATTGGTTGGCCACATTTCTCAGCTCCATTCTTCTAGTAAAAGAGCAAAATAGTTGTTGCCAACCTCCTGTCACATTTGGTGTGATTTGCAGCCAGCTTAATTGAAATGTGATACTGTATGAAGTGATTTTCTGAGCGTCTCGAAACCTTGACCGTCTCGCTACGAGACGCTCGGCACTCAAGCTATGACAATGGTGCGTCTCGGAGCAAGACGCGGCGGCACTCGAAGGGTTAATTTCGTTTTACCGACACTCAAGACTCATCCCGACGAAAACTGAGGTGGGCCTAGCCAAATTTTTTATAGACTATAAGCCTCCAAATTTTAATTTTGATATCTTAACCCTTTCTTAACCCTTTTTTTGTTCTATGAAACAATATATCGTTGTTTTAAAAAAATCCTAAGGGATATAGAGAGGAAGGTTATTTTTTAAAAAAATAGCAAAACGGCCACTGGTGACCTGCATGTTCATAGGATACACTAACAACCACTTAGCTAAAAGATTCGCCCAATCCGATGATTTCGAGGTGTATGTCTAGACCAAGGATTGTGAACACCTCACTATGCCCCAGTGGTTGTAGTATATCGCTACAAACACACAGGTCACCAATTATTTGCCACACAGGACGGGATTCGAACCCGAGCAGACGAATGCCACTGGCCAAGTGACACACGCCCTAGCCTTCTCGGCTATCTGTGCTTGAAGACTGGGGAGTCAAAAACCGGTATTTAAGCTGTCGCCACCGATTGCGAACAGATGGCGCTGCAGATGGTTGTTCAATGCGTTACTAGGTAGCAGCACCAGTTAGTCACGGACTATTTAGATGAAATGTTTTAGTTTAAACACAACAGTGATCATAAATTAATGTGTTCCTGAGACTTTGCTGCAAAACATTAGTTTCCCTAAAATTGCTATATTACGATAACCTCGACCAACTAAATCAAGGTTAAATTCAATATTACATTGTAAACTATATGTCTTTTGATTTTATGTGATTTTGGTTTCAAATAATGCTATCAGAACATAAAAATTTATAGGAAAACCAGGAAAATTACAACAAAAACTAAGTTTTATTTAATGTTTAACTACAAATACTGGGATTTATCTTTCTTAAATATTTTCTTATTGTGTTATTATTCAAAGTTAGCCCAATTAATAAAATAGTGACAACAAGACAGTTAAAATTCAACAACAGGTAATGGAATTAAAAGGCAAACAAAAAAGTCTTACAAAATATAAATTATTGGCCTAGCACTGAAAGGGTTAACTTACTTTATAGTTTTTTACCTCCTGAATCCAAATATAGGCTACCATTATTTTTCACCACTGATGAATAGCCTATTACTCAAGATGAGTCAATGATAATATTTTGTAATCAACGATGTTATTCAGAATCAGAGTTAGAAAATAAAGTCAAGTTGTTACCGTACTTCCAGTTTCTTGTGTAGTGTGGCTGAAAACAATCAGCTATAGGCTTACTTTACCCACAGTTCATTCCACTTGTAAATGTCATCCGTCCTACCTTGTTTAAATTCCGACATTGTATAAGTTATTGTTATGGCGATATCTTGAGTAATATTCATCAGCTGTGAAAAAATGTTATATATTTGGTAATAATATACTTGGTTTTAACCCCCTGCGCGATCAGAGGCGATAACTTACTTCACCTCAAATGAAAAGTCTTCATTTGCATTGCATCAGGGGTTGAATAAACGCAATGCAAATGAAGACTTTTCCTATTTAAGTGTAACAAGACTTTAGTGTAGGCTATCACTACGCAGCTGACGATGGAGATATCTCCGAAACGGACGTACCGGTAGTGAAGTATCGCCCCTGATTGTGTAGACGATAAGAACCAAATAACTTATTATTATATTTTCACGCAATCTGCCACACTCAAGAATAGGTACCACCGGTATGTAAATTTAGATTCAGGAGGTAAAAAAACATAGGTAATGGATTCAGTGTGCAAAAAACTGTAGGCCTACCGGTATCTAATTACTTACCCTAGACATAATTTATCAAAATTCTATGTTTAAGTTAATTGTTAGAACTAACTTAAGTTATTGTAGAACATTTGCCGATACTTATGATTAATTTAACTTATTAAATTCGAGTAAGTTAATTTTAGGAGGCTAATAGGCCAAAATTGACACAATTGAATATTCTGATATTAGTTAGCCTATGATAATTATTGGTTTGATATTGTTAGTAAATTCAACGGAGTTATAAGGTAAGTTAACCAGGCTAGGGCATACTATACTTTACGTCCTACGTACTCATTTGTATAAAAATATCGATCAATATATCTAGGTATTAACTTATTCGATATAGAGTATCGTTTGGTTAGTTAGGTAAGGTTAACCTACAAATTATATATCTAATGAAACAATCGAATAATTGATCAAATCATATTTATCATATTTTCATTCAAATGAGTGTAGGACGTAAAGTAAAGTGCAGCCCATAACTTAGGCTGCCTAAGTTATCAAAGTTTTGCTGATCACTGAGAAATGAAAACCTAGAATATGATTAATGAAGTTTTACCTACCGGTACATTAGGTAAGATAGAACTGTACTCACTTCTGCAAACGTAAACACCAAACAGTGCATCCTGGCTTCAGTTCCTTTAGTAGAACAGATTTTGCTAGCTGGCATTTGATATCTGTTAACATTTCCTGGGATTCATGATCTAAATCTTCTGCGTATGGTAAAAGTTTGTTAAAAGAGTTTTCTTTTTGAGGTCTAAATCCCAAGATCCTGGTTCGAGCTAAATTATACTCTTCATTAGTTTCTTCCAAATCGCTCATGAGTGAAGGTGGTGATTCAATTACTACATTAGATGGTAATTTGACAGGCTCCATTTGAAATCAAACTTTTGGTTAAGTGGAATGAATGATTTTTTCCAACTAGGCCTAAGTTTTAGCCTACTCTCTCCTCTCTAACTAAATGTGGGTTAGCTCAGGCTAGGCCTATGAAGGACTATTAAAAAGGCATAAAATAACTTAAAAGTTTACACATATGGTGCAATGAATTGCGTTTCCAGAGTTCAAAATACTTAACTAGAATAACTCACGAGAATAACTTAATGTCACCATTTTTCACACTATTATATTGCAAGTCACACGATTCAAACACTGTTCTTAGGCTATCATAGGTGAAGGAGAGTAACAACAGAGAAGTGAGAACAGACAAAACGACACAACACAAAATTAACAACTTCATTCAGACGGATTCTAGATTTAATTCAACACGAAGTCACGACTCACGCTCACATTTTTTTAAGGTACTTCTTTTTCTTAACCTTATCTTTTTCTAGATAACAAGCTACAGACGAGGTTTAGACTGTCTCGTGATTTTGTCGATGATTATTTGTGCTGGACCGGATGACATTCCATCTGCTGTACTCAAATACTGGCGTTAAGGCCTTCGTCAGGATTGACCATCTGCTGATTGCAAAACTAGAAGGATATGGCATATGTGGCTCATTACTCTGCTGGATGAAGAGTTACCTCACAGGTCGCATCCTCATTGTTAAATGTGACTGAGGCCTGTCTCCCCCTTTCTCAGTCACTTCGGGAGTGCCTCAAGGCTCTCACCTTGGCCCACTGCTGTTCAATCTGTTCGTCAATGACATCTGCAATTCGATCACAACAAAGTTCCTTCTGTTTGCTGATGACATAAAGATTTTCAACAAAATCACTTCGACAGATAACCAAGATGTACTCCAACTCTCGCTCAACAACATTTAGCCCCTGGTGTAAATTGAATGCTATGTAACTCAACGTCTCGAAATGTGTGGTCATGTTCTTCAGTCGAAGTAGCGTGGTGCATGAGTATGTTTATTGCATCGATGGCAGCAGTCTTAATTAATGTGGTTCAGAGAATCACGGATTTTGGTGTGACCACTCCCTCCCTTTGCCCACTTGAACATTTGGTGTATTTGTCTTCTAGAGTATCCTCTCTGCGCTGGGTTTTATCTACCGCTCTACGAGACCCCTTAAATCGCCTTAAGTCACCCTGTACAAGTCACTAGCCAATTTTAGAATACTGCTCCGTCATTTGGTCTCCATATCAAGTAGGCCACATGGACATCCTAAACAGAATCCAGACACATTTCCTCAGAATGCTAGGTCTTAAACTTGGATTCCCCTTCCCCCCTGGCCCAACAGTTTGATATACAACCTCTTCCAGTGAGACGACGGGTCTATGGTCTGTGACATCATCTTCTTGTATAAACTGGTAAATGGAATCGTTGATTGTCCTGAGTTATTTAACGACATCAACCTCACCATTCCCAGGGGCACTCGATCAAGAGCAGTCTTCACAAGGAGATACCAGCCGACTAACTATGCTCGTAACCACGGCATCTCTAGACTCCTGAGAACCAGCGAAGATGTGTCTTCTCGTCTCGACTTCTTCGGGCCATCACTAGCTTCATTCAGGAAACGCGCCAAGGCGCCACCACGTCAACCCGCCACCACGTCAACCCACCATCAAAAAGAAGAAGAAGTTTGAGGTGGCAGGTTGACGTGGTGGCTCGTTGTCGGGGTGGCACGTTGACTCTAGCGTGCACGACAACCCGCCACCTCGGAAAAACGTGTGGTGGTGGGTTGTCATGGTGGCACGTTGTCCTGGTGGTGCTTAGACGTGTTCATACACGTCAACCAGCCACCTCTTTAGTGTGGTGGCGGGTTGACGTGGTGGCTGGTTGACGTCTACGTGTGAGGTGGCGGGTTGACGACATTGAACATTGAGCGTACACGACAACCCGCCACCTCATAAAATAGTGATGGTGGGTTGACGTGGTGGCACGTTGTCGCTTACATGCGAGGTGGCGGGTTGACGAGAGTTAACATGGGGTGTACACGACAACCCGCCATCTTTGTTGGCAAAGCCGCTGTTGTTTGTGTATTATAAAATGCATCACTTTTTATGCAGTTTACCTGGACATGTGTTATCTAGTTTACTGTGAAGTTAACTATACATTAGTTATTGTTAATTCATTAATGATTGTTTATTCATTATTGTTAATACATTTTTAGTTGAAGTTAAAGTAATATGTTATTGTTATTTATTCTAATAGTTTATTTATTATTGTTACTTTTGAATTTTTACAGATATTTGTGTCAATGTTGTCTTTTTTTATAATTACTCAAGATACAATTAAGAACTCATAAAACTGCATGCTACTGTTTCAAACTGACAAAACTGTATGGTAAATAAGAAACAATATTTTTAGTGCAGACAAACCATTTGTGGTTTTTGCACTTTTGTATCCTATGTATTGGTAATTATTGTGTAAAAAAATTTCTTGATTGATTGAATAAAAAAATTAATTTTCGAATCGTTAGATCTGCCATAGAAATAAAGTAAACGCATCCACGCAAGACAACTTTTCCTTTTAATCAACGGTTATTGTTTATAAGAATTTTAAGATAAACTCAATACAAATTAACGATTAAGGGTCATTCAAGAATAAAAATAAAAATATTAATTATGATTTCGCATATTTTTATTGAAGACAAAAACATGAAACTTAATTTTGAAAAATAAGATATTAGTTTCTTATGATTTTTTGTAGGTGTACACCTGGTATAATACTTATACTTATTTTCTTTTTCAGCATTATGACAATGAATTACAAAATAAGTTACCTAAAAACTTCATTTATTAATTGTAATTCACGTGTGTATGGCCTAAACAAAAATGATGAAAATGTATTGTTCGGTTATACTTTCTCTTAAAACCGTATTGTGGTGAAAATAATAATACATTCAACCAAAAACATAAAACAAAATATACATCGTTGATATAGAGTACAACAGACTAAAATGTGCTTTGTGTGGACTAGCTGTTTTTCTATTTAGAAGAATTTGAAAAAGGATACAGAACTAGACTCGACCCAACCGTGTAATGTACTTTGACCTCTGAGTCAAGGGTATTGCCCAGAGAAGTTCATACCAGACAGATATATTCCAAAAAACTCATTAGGAGATATCTTAAACAAAGATTTTTATTGCATTTTTGATGTTCTGCTTGAAATTCCATTTCATGCTTCAGGAAATACCGTACCGTTACTTAGTTATTATTCGGAGGCCACTTGTTTTAGAGGGATTTTTTTTACCTAAGACCAAAAATAACTACATAATTAGAAAGAACATATTTTAATTACCTTACTGTCCAGATTTGACATGATTGCAATTAGCGGGTTTTGAGTTCTGCCTCCCAGAAGGCAGCGGTGTCGGCGAAGATTTAGTTGAATGCGTCACCGCCCCTAGCTGCCACATGAACTCCGTCGAGTATGTATACTGCGCGCTGTGGCGGTTATTTTAGGTTGGATTTCCTCGTTTCGTTTTGAATCTAACGATACCCCATTAGTGACGATACCTGAGATACAGGCGGTGACAGGTGATGCGCGCGCTCCGGCCATTGGTCGACGACCTGACCTTGGCCCTCCAAGTGGGGATTTGGCTATGGTATGACTCATCTGGTATCATTCCATTCATAGCGAAACTAAGGAAGTCCAACTAACATATTTATGATAACCCAACCTAACATAACCGCCGCAGCACGCTGTATAAGGGTGGCCTCCGGATAATGCCAAAGTACCATTAATACCGTACTTACTCTTAGCACAATGGGTTCGGGGCATTCCACTAATGTACTGTTGAAAATTGTATGAAATAATCTTACTAATATTATAAATGTGAAAGTTTGTGTGTTTGTTTGTTTATTTGTTTGTTTGTTTGTTTGTTTGTTTGAAGTTCAATCACGCATTAACTACTGGACCGATTGGGCTGAAATTTGGCATGATGATAGCTCACATTCCCGATTAACATATAGGCATATTCTTTTCTCAAAAATCCTTTCGGGTTCCGCCCCAGTGGCTCTGAAGTTCCCCATGTTAACCTTATGAGTATTCATATTTAAAGGGAATTAAAGAATTTAGTCAGCTGTTTCAACTGAAAAAGTTGGTTCTATGATTTGCAAAAGCATTAAAAGTTATAAGATTTACCAACAGGGTGCAGCACTATTATTTTTTTATCATTTATGAAAACAGCTAATTCGAACTAAGCAGCAGCAAAAAACTATGGTAAGCAATGAGAACTGTCAAAGTAGGATTGTTTACAGTTATGTTTATTTTTTAATTTCATGAATAATTTGTGATATTTAACAAATTTTTTAAATTTGTTTTTCTCTATTGTTTAGGTAAAGTGGTAGAACATTATGACTATTGTAGATGTGTCATACTATAGTATACTGTAAATTTAAAGAAGCAAATTTTATCAAACTGTGTCTTCCCCCATTGCAAACGCAAAGCTTGAGTATAACTGGAATAATCATTTTATACTTATATGCCAACCCCGTACGAAGGACGGGTATGACTGCTAGTTGATTCATATTTAACAAAAGTATCTTTACTAACTAAACTAAATCTGTGTACAACTTGTAAACAAATCAAATCTAAACAATAACAATAATCACATAATAATGACATCTATCTATCCATCTATCATTTACTATGTCTATCTATACTATTATAAAGAAGAGGTTGTGTAGTGTGTTTGTATGAGATAAACTATAAGCCTACTGAACCGATTTGACTCAAATTGGACAAAAATCAAGCTACTGCTCCGAGGATACATATAGAACTACCCCTTCGATATTGAACTAGTACTCTGCTCCACGGGCTTTCAAAATTCTGAGGAGAGGGATTTTGAACTTATTTAATACGCAAGCAGGTTTTTTGTGACATTTACTCCTCCGATACTACTAAAACGATTGGCACGTTTTTAGTGTCATTTGGAAAGTGCGTAAAGTGAAGTTGTACAGGAAACTTTCTTTTTAGGGAAATAATTAGGGTGAGGCCCTGGGGCCCTTTAAAGTTTCGTATTTCTCCATACGATTCATGGGAAACAGACATTGTTATGTAACTCCAGCTGTTGTCAGAAATTAAAAGTGAGAAGAAGAACATATGTTAATTGTAAACATTATGTAATTTACACAATATGTGGTAGGTTTATTTATGCCATTGATTATTGAAATGAAGAAAAATTCTATAACCATAAGTTGTGAAAATTATGTTATTGATATATTTTAATGTTAACAGTAGGGCAATTACAATGTAGGGCATACTTTTTTGTAAAATTTGGTGGCTATTTGTTTAAAAATTCAATATACTTAACAAGTGTTTGGATTAGGCAGTATGGACGTTTGGCACATCTTCCCGTTGCGAATATTTT